GTGCAGGTTGTCTGTATATTATTCCAGTCATGGTATTGTGCCTTTTTTGTTCTTTTTTTTATCATAGTCTCTGTGGAGGCTTCTTTGTCTTTGCTTCCTAACCAGTATTTTGCAGATAAATTGTAAAGTAAGAAAAAAAAAATTATTTAATTGCTCAGTGTGAATATGAAGTGAAATTTAATTTTATAATGAAATCAAATTTTTATGTACATATATTTATTGTATCATTGTTCTGTGTTTATCAGTGATTATGATAACCTCAGTTTCAGCTAAGATTTTTTTTTTTTTTCAACGTTTTTTGCTCTCAATACTTAGACCTACTTACTGAATGCAAACGCAGAGCTAGAGTAATGTCAAAACTCATTTTTTGCATGAAATTCCTTCATTATATGATTCATCTACAGTGAGTAAATGTCATATAATAAGGCTGAAAGTGTCTTTTAAATTACCACTTGCTGACTTAACTCTTAAATTGTCCAAATGTAGATCTATGTTCACTCACATAGCGCTCTGAACGCAGATCTACGTTCACTCACATAGCGCTCTGAACGTAGATCTATGTTTTTTTCATAAAGCATATAAAATCGAACGTAGATCTACGTTCGGAGTGCTACGCGAGTGAACGTAGATCTACGTTTGGACAGTTTAAGGATTAAGCCCTTGTCTGGCTGCAGGAGTGAAGTGTTGAAAAGGCTTTTGATACAAGGGAGACATTGTATAATTTTTAAAAATTATATGACAAGTTATGAAATACCTTGCTGCTATATGTAAAGCAATATAAAAAAAAACAAGAGAGAGAGAACAATATACTCTAGCAGAAATGTATGTACTTAAATATGATGATTTGCTTTCATATTTCCTAAATTTATGATGGTATTTAGGCAGACTGCAGCACTGGGGAAGGTGTAGCATGAGTGATGAATAAGACAGAGGACCAGAGTGATTGTTTTCAGTGTATCATCGATGATGGGGGAAGTAATAAGAAGCAGGTGTTAGTGGAGAAAGCAGTAAGATGCAGGTGTTAGAGGAAGCAGCATATTGCAGGTGTTGAGATTTTAAGAATTCAGATCTGTCTTACCAGTCTGTTCAATATCACTTCACTGAACTATTCTCTGTTCAACTACTGCATTATCTCTATCAATATTTTGTATATTTGAAGAGAGATTTTTGTATTGTTAATACCCAGTATATTTGATGTGATACCTTGGGTCTCTTGTAAAATTTATACCAAGAATTTTTTTTTATGCATCAGGGTGACCTAAAAGAAGTGAAAATTTCTTTTTAGATTTAGTAATTTATTCAGGAAAAGGGGGGTTACGAGCCCCAGAAATATTGGTTGTAAGCACTAAAATATAAGGCTGGAATAGTCAAGGCTTGTGAAGCTGTGAAAAGAAGATGGTCAGTAAAATACCTAAGGCACTTTTTTTTAGTTTAGAAATGAGTCTCTACATTGAAATAGTCAAGGAGAGATATTACTTGAGTTTATATTGTTTGTTCTTCTTTAAAGCTAGAAAATAGCTATTGTTTTGCACCTCAGAAAGTGATATTTTGTCCAACATATTTAGTTAATGCAGACTGTATAGCAAAATTGTTAATTCAAATTTTTTGGCCATTAAAGGGTGTTTATGGCCAGTCTGACTGTTCTGAGACTGAGGCCATGATTAACTGTTGAAGGATTGGGCAACCATCATTCCTTGGGCTAAATGACCCACACAGGTTTAGCACTATGAAATACAATACAGTCCCAGAACTGTGGGAACACGTGATTCTTTCTTACTCCAACAGACGACTTCATTGCAAATTTCTCTAATTTCGGGAATGAGAGGGGTTCTATAATACACATATCGATGGTGCTGTACTTGTGAACTGTCAGCCATTATGACTTCTGTATGGAGCCCAGACTACAAAACCTTTTATCAAGTTAATTTAAGAAAAATTTGAAACATGTGCATGATCTTTCATGTGCACAAGCATATACATACTCATCTGTATATGAACATGTGCACAATCACATATACATGCACTTGTGCATGTGTGCAGACACGGAGAATAAATATAAAATTCTGCAATGAAAATTGGAAATGTGGAAATAAACCCTTTAGAGTGAATAGGAGTAGCAAATAGTGCAGATAAAAGTGGTGATCAAAAATTGTTTAAAAATAAAATCTTGGAATAAGAAGACATATTCCAAGTTCACATTTACTGGAAATGGTTTTTATGCTAATCTTGGTAATCTATAAAATGCTTGTAGACCATAGACGAACAAATTTGATCATTAATCGTTATAATAGGCCAGAAATTAATTATCCCAATGGGTACCTGGAAGTGTTCATCTAAGATTTGTTTATGATAACTGGGACTCAGATAAAATAAGTGTTGGTGGTAACAGTCTGATTTCAAGCACTCTTTAGTGGAACCCTGGGGAGAAGGTGCTTGGGGCTGGATATATACCAGATACTTAGTGAATGTTAGAGGTTGAACGAGGCCAGCAGGTACTGCG